TGTGTGTATGTGTATTTATGTGTGTGTTTGCGTGTATTTGTGTGAGTGTGTGTGTGTGCGTGTTTGTGTGTGTATGTGTAAGTGTGTGTGTGTGTGTGCTTACCCATGTTTCCATGTTTTTTTTGCATTAAGATGACTGACTGCTTTATTCTGCAAGGATTATTTCTCTGTATGTATGTATGTATGTTGTTGATGTGGTTGATGACGATAATGATGATGAGGAGGAGAAGGATGACAACGATGATGATGATGATGATGGCGTTGGTGATGATGATGATGATGGCGTTGATGATATGATGATAATTTGAGTTAAGGACTGATAAGGATAACGGTGATGATGGTGAGGATAACGATGATGACGATGATGATGGTGGTGATGATGACGATGATGGTAATGATGGTGGTGGTGATGATGATGATGGCGACTGATTAAATGGCGACTTGTCAACTCCAGTTGGAAAATGTTCGTCACATGTATGCATGATGCATCTAATGCAGAGCGTGCATTTGCAGGCGGTTCATAATCATCTTAATTCCATCATAATTTTTCATCATTTTACCATCATAGCCATCTCTCGTCACTAACTATCTTAATCCTTATCGTAATCGTCATCATCACCATTATCGTCGTCGGATCATCATCATCATCATCGGATCATCATCATCATCATTATCATCACCATCATCATCACCACCATCATTTTTCCTCCTACCATATCTTGGACATTGTTGACGAATTAATTAAAAAATTTTCAATCAGTCGCAAAATTTCCATCACTGTCCAAATATAAAAACCGTATTGATAAAAAACTCCACATACAAACATACAAACAAACAAACAAACAAACAAATCGAATAACATACATACAAATGTGCATAAATACATACAAAAGTACAACCAACATACAAATGGCCAAACATACAAACGTAATACAAATATACATTGTTTATTCATTCATTTATTTAATCACTCATTCATTCTTTTTTTTCCCTCACTCGTCCGTTCAGTAATTAGCTCATTCATTCCCCCATCATTCACTCATTCATTCGTTTGTTCGCTGGCCCGTTCCTTTGGTCATTCGCTTGTTCATCCATTCATTCATCCATCCACCCCACTTGGTTTGTTTCCTTTCCCTCGTTTCTTGGTTGTTTTTAATCACATATGGCTCCAACGTTACAACAGTGCCCCGTCTGCTTTAACCACTATAGAAGCACTCCAGACGAAAAGTTATGTCGGCACGGAGGTAAAGTAAAAGGACAGGAATGCTCTGGGTCCCGGAAAAAAGTTGATCCATCGGGCGCGAGGCCTGCTTCGCCGCATCGGTCTCCGGTGATCCTCTCGGCCTGGATAACTCTGGTGTCTTTGACAAGCTGACGGCCGTGCTGAAATGTGTACCGGTGTTCATGCGGTTCGAAGATTGGTCACCGACCTCCCCGATCAATGGGGGTTTCTGAAACTGCACTTTAAAAATGCCTTCAATGCCTTGAGAAGAGACTCGATGTTGGAGGCTGTCAAACTTTTTTGCCCCAATAACTATAATTTTTGCCATTCTGCCTATGGCGGAGTCTCTTCCCTTGGCTACCACTCTTGGGTTGTAGAATCGTCCGAGGGGGTACAGCAGGGTGATCCCCTTGGTCCTTTGTTGTTCGCACTAACTCTTCATCCACTCTTAGAGAAAGCTTCGTCTACTTTCGTTTGCGCTTATCTGGATGATATCAGCATAGCTTCGGACGGTCCAACTCTGGCCGATAGCTACAAATATTTGAAGCATAACTCCGCTGCAATTGGCTTAGAGTTAAACATTAAAAAATGCGAACTTTACTGCCAAAGTTTATTTCAGGTGCCACATGCGCTGGCTGAAATACCCAGAGTTGGTGCATCAGAACTGAGTTTTTTAGGCACACCCTTGGTCGAGGGCGATTATCAAATAAAGTTTTTTGACCAAAAGCTCTCTGAGCTTAAATTCGCTTTGGGTCGTGTTTCCTGTCTTTCGGCCCATGATGCCTTGACTATTATCCGCAATGCCCTCAGTTTGCCCAAATTGATGTACTTCCTGCGTACATCTAAACACATTGACCCTTCTAAATTGGGCGAATTTGACGGAGCCCTGCGCACCGCCCTGTCATCGATTTGCAATGTTCAAGTGACTGACAGTGGTTGGTCCCAGGCTCAGCTGCCGGTGCGATTTGGTGGGCTGGGGTTGCTTAGCGTGGTTCAGCTGGCTCCCGTTGTTTATAATTCTTCTGCCGCTGCCACTCTCGACCTGCAGTCTTCCCTGCTCCACCGGTTTTTTCGTTGTCGCGATATTCTTCTCCCAGTGTCCGCCCCGGGGGACCGTACGCACGTCCAAATTTTGAACGAAGAATATAAAAAAATCTTTCAAAATTTGTTGTCTTCATGCGGCGACGACTTTTCCACCGCTCGTTTGTTGGCCATGTCCAGCGTTGCCAGCTGTGGGTGGTTGAGATCGTGGCCTAACACCTCTGTGGGCACCAGGCTTGACGACGAGTCTGTGAGATTTGCCATTAGCTTCAGACTTGACCTGGTCATTCAGAATAAATACACTTGCCGATGTGGCGCTGGGGCGGACGAGTTTGGGCTCCACGGTTTGGTTTGTCGCCTGGGTGGGGGCCGTCAACTACGTCACTCAGCGCTAAACGATTACATTTGTCGGCTCTTCTCCAAGGCTTCAATCCCGGTTCTCAAGGAACCATCTGGCATTTCTGCGCATGATGGTAGGCGCCCGGACGGATGCACGCTAATACCTTGGAGAGCCGGCAGATGTTTGGCGTGGGATGTTACGGTCCCTGGCACCCTCGCCGAACGATACGTAAACCTGACAAGTAAAGAATGCGGTTTGGCC